AATTAGAAATTCCCAATGCTTTTCTCTGTTGTTTTTTTTTTAACTCAAAGTCCCATCTGGGGAAAAAAAAAACAAAAACAGTAGATAACAGCGGCCACTGAAGCAAACAACAGAACCTGGCATGGTGTCTCCTACCTCCTACTGCTTTCTAAAGTCATTGCTCTAAATACACTCTTCCCTACTGCATAACAAGGCTATTGCAACCATCACCTAGCATGCTGTAACTGCATGTTGGGGCTGTACGGCCAGCCCCAGCGGGGTGTCCGGGGGGGGCCCGCCCCGGCCCGGGATTTGACTCTAAGCCACAGGAAAAGAATACAGGACTAATTTCTCCATTCTACTTTAGTGATGCTAAGCTTTTGACTGGTACTGAGCAGCATGGAGCCACACAGGCATCCACCAGTATGTGCAAACCAAAAGACAATTTACCTGGAGGGGGTGTCAGCAGGTAAGCAGAAAGTCTGACTCAGACAAGACTGTGGATAGGATAGCACTGTTCAAATGCTCTCTCTCTGGACATGCATCAGGGCCTTGATGTCTTCCTTCTAGTGAGAGGCCCAAAACTAACACAGCACTTGAGGTGAGGCCTCAAACAGTTCTACCCTGCAGTTCCATTCAAATGCAGTCCCCTATTTCCATTTCCCAAGTTACTGTTTAGCCTGCTCCTGTCCCGTACTTGGGTCAGGGGCCACCTCACCACACACTATGAGAGGTCAGTGAGGTGAGAGCTGCAGGCCTAAGCTCAGGCCTGCACCTCAACTGCAGTTGCACATCTTCAAAAGTTTCCATAAACAAGGCACTGAGACAGCACGCCAGTCCAGCATGGTAGAGAGCTTTGCGGACCTGCCAGCCTACAGGACAAAAGAGATTTCTGCCCATTGGCATCATGTGGGAAGCAACTGAGCAGATCTTGCTGGCTGCAGCTGCAGCACTTTGCAGAGGCAGAACTGGAGGTGCCTTGCAAACGCATGAAAAGGCACTGGCAAGGCAATATATGCTGTGATAGCTCCTGTTGGCTTCATCTTCCTCCCTCGCCCCCCCATCACCTATTCAAGGATTTCTCCAGGCTGATCCCACCATCCAGAGGTGGAGCAAAAGCCTTCAAGAAAAAGGAAAAAAAAACCCCAAAAACCTCAGTCATTTAACAGCAAATTAAGACCAAAAACAATTTATAATCACTGAGGTCAAGACTTAATGCCTTGAATTTTGTGTCACTTTAATTTACAATCATAGAGTTATAGAATCATTAATGCTGGAAAATACCTCTAACATCATCTAGTTCAACCGTCAGCCCATTGCTGTGAGCACTCTAAACCATGTCTCTCAGTGCCACATCCACATGGCACTTGAACACTTCCAGGGACAGTGACTCCACCACCTCCCTGGGCAGCCTGTGCCACTGCCTCACCAGTCATTCTGGGAGGAATTTTTTCCTAATATCCAACCTGAAACTAACTTACAGCTCTTCTCTCTCAGCCTTGCCTTGGCCCTTTGCAAGCCCACGCAGCATGGCACCTCATTAAAACAGCATTTTGAGAGGCAAAAAGGGTCAAAGGACACTTTAAAAGCCAAGCTCAGTCTCCCTTACCAGTGACGCTGTACCTTTTGCATTAGGTAGAGCATGTGGGGTCATGTGGTTACTCTAAAGCCAGCACCTCAGGATTCATGAAATGGAACACAATCCAAATTCCTGAACAACGCAGCACCTTCAGGTTTGTGCTCCTGAACTGTCATGGTGGATCCCACATGAACATCAGGGTTTCCCATACAGGGTGAAGTTTCAGGCAACTAAACACATGCTTTACACATAAATTTTGTAGATATTTCTAGATATTTATCCATCTTATAGATAACTAAGATCTGCAGCAGGCAGGCAACCACTCACTCACAGGCTCCAAAATAAATAATGTGAAAGACAGCACCCATACTCTGACAGTCCAGTCCAGTCCTGTTGGCTGCCACACGATTGCAAATCCTTCTGTGGCATTTGAGTGTTCAGCACAGAAGTGAGCTTACATAGCTCTTTACAACACAGAAATGCTGTTCCCTGTCTAAGGGGGCAGAAGTATGGGATACAGAGATGGCAGTGACCATGAAAAATCACAAAAACGCTGCCTTCCCTGCACCAAGTTACCTGCCTCAGTTTGGGAAGGAGCACGAAGATGCCAAAAATCCTCCCACCGCATCTCGGATGCCTTGCAGATAGCTCTTATCTTAGAAGCTCACGAGTGCTTAACTTCCCAGCAGAGAAGAACCATTAACTTCCCAGGGAACATCTCATTAGCTTCAGTTCATGCACACTGTTTTTATGAGACTTTGGGAGGTATGTTCATTCAGAACAGCAGCACTGCCACCAAGTGCTGAGTCTGACCACACCATCTGGTCTACTCAGACCAAGGTGTTTCCAGCCCTTGTGCAAGAGCAGCAATACCATGACAGGCCAGGAGAAATGCAAACCAGCTCACCTACAGTGTTCTCCAAACCATTCCGCTGGATGCACCACAATAATGGTTATTTCCTTTTGAACACGTGAGAACAAAACTTGGTTGTTGGTTTTTTTTTAAATTAAAACTTCTAGTTCGTTTTTCTTTCAGTTGTGTTTTTCTCTGCTTATCACTGCAGGGATTTTTATTTTCCACTTTCTTTTCTATTCCCAGTACCCTCATTGACTTGCCTATGCAAAGCAGAGTAGGTGAGGGTCTCACTGTCGATGCTGCCATGGAACGCCAGGACTCCTGCAGAGAGCCTTTCTGCTAAGAGTTGAATCCACAGCCAAACCTCCAGGGATGGAGTCTCTTTCACTTCCTTCAACAGACCACTCCAAGACTTGACCATCCATTCTGTACATGATTTCTTCCTGATATCCAGTGTAAATCTCCCTCAGTACAACTTGAGGCCATTACCACTTATCACAGCTACCTGAGTAAAGAGGCTGACTCCTGACTGCAGCCTCCTTTCAGGTGGTTGTAGAAGTGATGAGAAACCTTATCTTCTCCAGATTACACCACCCCAGTTTCCCCAGCTGCTCCTCATAAGCTGTTTTCTACTCCCAGTCAGCCACAATCTCCAGAATTACTCAACCCCAGAGAACAATGTTGGTGACCTCCAAAAGGGGGCTGTGGATTATTGTGCTGAGTTTGCTCTTACGACGAGGGCAACAGTTCTTCTGCAGCAGCAATTTAGCCAAACGTGGTTTAAACATTAATCACAACTCTTAACTTTGCCAGCTTTAATTGTTGCTACATTCGGCCTGCCTGCTGAATCAGCATGAAGTTCACAAGCCAGCTGTGGGGTCAGTTTTGCCTCACCACACTCAGGCCCAGTACACACTGCCCTCATGACCCATCATGACAGGCCAGACACCCAGTGCTGGTGAAGGAGCTTTTGTCATCCTGCCTGACTTCCCTGCAGTTACGGTGCTCCCAAAGGCACTGCATAAGGGGAAATGGCTTCAAACTAATGGAGGGGAGATTTAGACTGGATATAAGGAAGAAGTTTTTTATAATAAGGGTGGTGAAGCACTGGTTGCCCATAGAGGTGGTGGATGCCTGGTTCCTGGAGACATTCAAGCTCAGGTTGGACAGGGCTCTGAGCAACCTGATGTAGCTGTAGATGTCCTTGTTCACGGCAGAGGAGTTGGACCAGATGTCCTTTAAATGTCCTCTCCAACTCAAACAATTCTATGGTTCTATCAGATTTGGTTGCCTTCATCTTGGCAGGCTCAGCTTTCTGGCTCTTTTGAGTCCACTCACAGTACCTTACTCATATTTCAGATCAATTTCAACAAACTTTTTCACTTTTCACCTCTCCAGGATGGCCTGGGAAAGCATTTCACTGCACTAGTGACCTCTTGAGCATGCACACAAGAGGGAAATGCTCTTTTTAAGGATGTCTGTGAGAGCTGAGTACCTCACATAAGGTACACAAGTCACCCAGAGGCAGGAACATCCCCACAGATCCCACTACTGGCACGAGAGGATGGTGGGATTTCACAGGAGAGGGACAGCCATGGACACGGCCCAAGACACCCCTCATCTACTGCAGAAGTGAGACCTGTGGCAACTCTGCTGGATTGCCACAGGAGAAGGCACCACTCCTATGAAGTCCCTAACTTATGCTTCTATTAGGCAGATTACAAAGGACATGATGAATACAAAAAGGTTGCTGCCCATGAAAGGAAAGAGCCCCAGACGGTGCAGTGAGGATAATAGGGATCTAAAAAGGATACTAGCTTAAGATCGTCTTAAATTGTATCAGGAGGCATTTAGGCTGAATATTAGGAGGAATTTCTTCTCAGAAAGAGCAGTGAAGCAGTGGCACAGGCTGCCCAGGAAGGTGTTGGAATCACCATCCCTGGAGGTGTTCAAGAGCCATGTGGATGTGGCACTGAGGGAGAGACAAGGGCAATGGGCATGGTGGGGTTGAGCTGACAGTTGGACTAAATGATCTTAGAGATCTTTTCCAACCCTAATGATTCTGTAATTCTGAGCATCTTTCCCATCCCTTTCCCTGGTTCCCTGCCTGTTTCTGGAGTCAAGAGGTGGCAATGGGAATCGGGCTGTTCTTTCCTCCCCTCCAAGCTCCCAGACCTCAGATGTTGTCAGCCAAAGGATGCAGCCATGCTGATCCAACACATCTCTTCTGAAGACATGTTGAGAAGCCACTGCCATAAGTCACACCCACGCTGGAGTGCAGGCTGGGAGAAAGAGAATTGCCACTCTACTGTCAGGCAGAGGTGACAACAGCTCCTGCAAGGCAAAAGGAGAACTGGTCAGCAGTAATGCACAGCTGAACAGGTACTGAGCTCAGCTTTGGGTAACACAAGGGGGGTATCTGTGAGAGGTGGGGGGAAATGCCAGCACGTGGGTCCCACCCATCCTGAATTCCAGTAAAGCTGGGTACTCCCAGTTAAACAGAGAAAGAGAAACATCACCAAGGAAAAAAAGAAAACATTTAGGAAAGGAAATTTATTTTATTGAAAAAAAAAAAATTACATTTCACTTGTACACCATGAAAATATTCAGTTATTTTCAAAAGAAGAGGTTAAGACTTCCACAAGAAAACCACATTCTTTATTACAGCATTACTTTACGAGATGAGGCTCTGGTGGTGTCTGCATTGGGCATTTTTCACTAAACAGTAGCGCAGGATTAAATGTGCTTTGGGCAAAAACCCTAAATATTGCCCTCTTCCAGATGCTAGTCCTTCTTGAAGACATGACACTTACTTGGCCAACATTTCATTATTTCTGAATTAGACACAACAGTTCTCTACTCATGTAGATCTCACAGAAATTCACAGCTATCCTTTTCCCCCACTTTTAACAATCTTGATTCATATGTCCCATTCAGCCAGATAAAAGTGGCATACACAATGTCACACCCAATCTTCTGGTAAGAAAACAAGACTGAAAGGGCTATGTGACATTAATAATCCCAATCACTGACAATGATTTATAGTATCAACATATGAGACTGAATTTTCCAGGACTTCCCTATGTCGCTACATCACCAGCAACAAATCCTATGGCTTCCTTCCCTACCAAGGCATGTATTCACAGTGGCTGTCAGCACATGAATACATCTGCTTCGCAGAAGCACCTGCTTGCAAGTGGTATCCCAGGGCCATTTACTACATGGCAAGCACCATGCTGTGCTCCCAGTCACCTGCGATGGGCTGTACTGCATCACTTGGCAAGGCATCTTCCGAAAACTCCTTTTGAACCAGAGACCTTTGGCATCTTAAGACATAAAAATCTGCAAGCAAAAATAAATAGCAATGCCACATATTCCCAGGTAACTTGTCTTACTAATTGATTTGACTACTTACTTAGAGGGGAAGAGAAGAAAAAGAGCCAGACGTGACCAAACCTAACATCATGCAAGTGGCTGTGAAAGCAGACTTTAAATTTTCTCCACCTGGATGTTACTGCTATGTTTCCTAGGTGGATAACTGCCTTTTTATATGCTGTTTTCTACTTTGCTAGGCAAAAGCATAATACAGACTATGTGAATAGTCACAGTAACTCTTGTTAGTACTGTAACGTTTTTGCTGGATTTGCAGCTAGATAGAACACCAAACTTGGATTCCTACATACATAGCTGCTCTTTCAAGTACTTAGCTGAGCAGGATTATTTGCATTAACACTAACAGTGCAGCTCTGCAATTAGACTCTGCTTGTCCAGCCTCTCACTGCCAGGAAAAGTAGCAATGCCAATCTCCCAATCTCTTGCCTAGCCACATCTTCCCAACCCCTTCCTTGTGTTAGCACACTGTTCTCTGGATGAGAACATTCAGGGAACTAAAGGAGCTGAAAACTTTAGGGTTTTTGGACGGATGAGTTCCCCACCGGTTTAGTTTCCCCCACCGCACTCACTGCAGGGTCAGGCAAGGACCAGGGACAGCACAAGTGATGGACGAGGAAGATTAGGATGTGTTTTTATGGTGTAGTTGAGCTGGGTAAGAGAAATCTAGCACAACAGCTGATAATTCTGTACTTTTCCAGAGCACAAGAAACTTTCCTAAATCATCCAAACAACTCACTCGTAGTGTCTCTTTCTCTTCATGAACTGCAGAGGAAGACTAGGGAAACCTCATGGCGAAACAAGGTTCTTAGAAGGGAGAGAATGAGCATCCTGCTGCCATACACCAGAGCCAGGACAGCAGCACGCTGCTTGTCATGTGCTTTAACTTCAAAGTGAATGGAGTTGTGCTACATCAGTGCCCTTATCACTCACTCAATTCAGGGCCACTCCTCTGTGTCTCCCCAGGGGAGGAAATCACAGCACAGCCAGCCATGTAAAACGTGGCTGCTCCCTTCCCGAGTCTCTCCCCCAGCAATACATTATTCACCTAAGTGATATATTTTTTGCTAATCCAGCAAAGAAGCAGCAATACTTCTAACACATCCAGAACTTGGAAAATCATGACAGAAAAAACCGACAGATTCTCCCCTACTTTTTTGCAGGATTGATTTATTGATGAATGTGGCAAGGATACTGTCTTGTTTCTCAGAAAGAGACATAATGAATGATGCTCAGTCTCTCCAGATCACCCTTATTGTGGTAGGAGCACAGCATGCAGCAGAGGGCCTTGCCCTGAAAAATGATTTATGCCACAGACCCTTTCAGACTTCCTATAAAATCCCCAAATGACCAAACAACAAGAGAAAATAAAGAGAAATCAGGATTGAAGGGCTTGAGCCCATTTCCCAGCCAGAAGGAAAAATAAAAGACTATAGTGAGATTAAAAAAAAAAAAAAAATCACTTTCTTGCTTTCAAACATGCCAACAGCTTGCATTGTGCCTGAACGGGATGCTGTTGGTAACTCAACTCTTCTGAAAGCCAATGCATGTATTGAATTTAAATTCAGATCATTCTCTTTAAATTCTTTACAGTGCCACAAACTGACAGACTGAAGGAAAAAAAAAAACCAACATTTTCTCCCACTTAGCCCACTCATCTCTCTGTTGCACTCATTCACTGCAAACAATGAAGTTAGCTTGGCCAGCAAGTGCCGATCCAGTCTCTAGGCTTGTTTGCTTACACAGTGCTATTAAGGACCATTGAGATCCCCCAGTCCTATTACATTAAATAAATCAATCCTTCACCTATCTTTATTCTGCCCCAGATGCATTTGGTATTTTATTTCATTGCAAAATCTAAATTCTAGGTCACCACTTACCTGATTTTGTCATGGATAAGGTAGCAATATTTAGGGTTTTCTTTTTATACAATGGTGTCTACCATCCTATTGCCTCTCTCTACAATCAAGCATACAAGCCTTACTGCAGAAAGAATATAACTCATAACCAACAACCAGAAAACACACAAACACTACAAAAAGCCTACAATTTCATAAGAAATTAAATCATTTGCTATTACACAGAACGTTGTTGCTTTTCTGGCATAAAATTCATGGAGTTACTACATAGGTCTCAAAGACAATCATTGAGATGTGTAAACATAGAACAGGTCCACCTAGTCAGTACGAAGCACCACACAAACTTGAAGTACATAGAAAGTTTGCTCATAAATATTTGTTTAACAATTCAGCACTAAAAAAATATTACTTAAAAAGGCATCTTTTATTTAAGTTATTTTAGTTTGTCCAGGGCTGGTGGGGTTGTACTGTCCCTACCTTATTACAGCCACCTGACTCTACTTCCATACCATCTTACTCTCCAAGAAGAAAAGTCTAGGTGTGGCTGGGACCCAAAGCTTTGTCACTATCTATAAAAATATAATTCTTTAAGACTTTCTACGTACACCCTGAAGGCCTGCACTGCCAGCCCCCAAATTTTGTTTCCCACCCCCACCACATTGCAAATAAAGACTCAACGTACACACACGCACACATACACACAGAATACATGTATTACACTCTTCTACACACTGACTTTTCTAAATAGCAATGCAACCACAAGGGCAATAGGTAATGAATATACATGATTTCAGTGGTAACATATGGCTCAGCCTTCTCATATTGCTGGTATTCTCTGTCTTAATTATGTGCTGCCTTATTCACTAGTCTGCAAAAGGTGTATTTATTACTTTTATTTGCATTGTCGAGGCACTAATTCGGGAATGCTAATTTAGGAACATACTTGGGAGCATCCCATTTGCCTCGAGATCTGCTGTTGCTGGAGCAGCAAGCACCACACGGTCGGCTGGTGGTGTTGGGATTGTCACCTGGTACTGGTGAAGCTGACAGGAGCATTCCTAGGCTACTGAAAACTAATCCACATCCTTTTCCTTCCTGGAAAATGAGAAAACTAGCTTGGGCTCTCCTAAAAAGACATGTACAGCTACCTAGCATCCTGCACTCAGCACCCTTCCTGGCAGTTTAGGGATCACTCCAAGTTCCTGATCGAATCTTGTAGATTTAACTTCAGTCTGCTCCTGCATACAGACATAAATTCTATTCTACTCACTTCCTTGGAAGAGTAGAGCTGTTTTCAGGCTTGCGATTGAACATGTCAAAGCTTACTTTCCACGGTTTACATGTGTTTAATTGATATGTTTAGAATGCCAGCAGGCTACAAAACTGCTCAGCAGCAGGCTTTCAATCATCAAAAGCACATCTTTCAAAAAGGACAGCTATTCTCCAAGTAATTTCTCTTGGGACTCTAATAGTTGAATGTCTAATCAAGGATGAATTGTGATATAAAAAATAACGGGTTGTTTTTCTTCAGTTTATGGAGAAATACTTTGGATTCAGTCACTAAAATCTGTAACATTCATGTCTCAACTTCTAGTGGGCAGAGTCAGTCAGGAGAAGTGGCTGCCTGTGATATAAGCCTAACTTTTCCAGTCAGCATAAGAATCTTCTCCAATAAGCAGTGCTCTCCATAACGTGGATACCTGCTCTCCTCCTCCTGCAAACTGGCACAGCATACACAATGTAGAGTGCTGACAGAAGCACTTGTTCTGACGTGCAGAAACAGTTGTTTCCAACTAAATAGTCTCGCATGCTCTGCAGTAAGATAAAAATTACTCTGTGTGAAGAGGTGTTCTGCTAAGTGCTGCGCAAGAAACAGACCTGAAAATGAACTGTGATGCTTACTTCAAGCCTCTTTTCTCACCTTTGCAGCAATAAGGAGCGCATCATGGGGAGGTCCTGCATATACAAGTACAAGGCATGCAAGAGCAGTGGTGCAGGTATCAGCAGTTGTCTTCCCATGAAACTTCTCAGGAGAAAATCTAAGAAGACAAGGATGTTATTCTCCTCTAGAGACCTATTTCCTTGCAACGAGATGACTGTGGAGCACAAAGGTGCCTTCTTTCATTAACTATCCATTCTTTATACCAGGATATATCTAATTAAACCTTTAATTACATCCACTTACTCAGCAAGACTATCAAACTCCTCTTGATTTGTTTAATTCCGAAATGATTAACATATTAAAAATAGGATCTAACAATCTGTGTGTACAGTATATTAAATGTAGATGCTTTTATTACAATCTTCCTTGCCACATAGTTTAAAATTAAATATATCAATACAATCACCAGAACAATCTCAGACAACAAAAGAATACCATCCAATCAAGATACAGTAAGATACTCAAAAAGGCAGTACGAGTAGCTGGAAACCTTGGTCCTCCGATTATTTTGTACAGCACATTGATCAGAGATTTTCCCGTATAAATTAGCAAACAAACATTAAAAGTTAACAATTTCATACCATAGATTCTTCAAATGTTTATATCGAGTGTGAACAGTATCGATTCTAGCACAATGTCTTTATGCATGTGTCTCTCTAAGAGGTAAAAGGGAATTTTAGGTATGCAGTAACCTATATCCAGGCCCAGAGATGAGTAGAATATTTGTAAACAAATTTTGGTCTTTCCCGTACAATGGCTTCATAAATGAGTGCAGTAATCAAAATGGCTGAGCACATACACTGAACAAATCACCCCAGAAAAAAGGATCCGACACAAATAATTTCCAAGTGAGTGAAGAATGGCAGAGAAGTCACCTGAACTCAAACACAAACCGCTCACTGTTCCCATGAGGACGTGCCCTTCAGTATTAGATGTGTACCTCGCACTAACTTCACATGTACACGTGCCCTCCACACATACACTGGGGAGTATGCATGGCAGTGAAGCTGGCATTCCTCAACCAGCCTCAGTGCTGAGCAGGGGCCATGGACTAGTGGGCTACAGCCACCTTTCGTGCTGTTAGGGCAGTCATGAAAGACTTCTCATTAGTTATAGACCCACCTTCTGTGCTAAGGTGCTTTTTCTATTGTAATCACTGGGGACCTAACCTGCTTTAAGTTAACCATTTTCTTTTACTTAGGCAACTGCAAGTGCATCAGACAACTCTGATGAGTTTTTTCCAAGTCCATAAGTAGTGGGCAGCTGTCTAATGCTGAGGTACTTTCAAGAAGCACCAGACAGTAAGAATGTGGGGGGTTTTTCTGTCTTTTTTTTTTTTTTAAAACAGATATTATCCATGGGAGGAGAGGCAGGAATGCACGGAGACTTTGAATTTTGTTCTGCAGACATCATGAAAAAGTGCTCTACACCCCTGAATCAATAAAAACGCATCTAAGTATTACATATGTATACCTTGACATTCAAAAATACCTGTTTGCCCGCTGTGACTTCTAAATGTCAGCTACAGGATATACTTACAGATGATTGCTGACGTTTGTTCCAGGCAAGAGATGTTAAGCACAATTATTCCCAGAACACATAAACACAAACTAATTTAGATCAGGGCAGTGGGAGTTCAAAAGAGGTACTATGTGAGCAGCTCCCAAGGACGCAAGCAGAAGCAGCAAGCAGCCAACTGTTACAGAGCCCACCTAGCACAAAATATGAACTGCTGCAAATTGAGCTCATTAGTAACATCACCTTCTTATTCTTTTTTTTTCCCCCCTGAAGCTACCCTTATTGTGTCCATCCCTTGAACAGCATGGCTGTGCCACAGATCTCAAGAAAGGTGTGGATTACTGGAGTGACTCTCCTTTCTTTGAAGCAGTAGCTAGAGATCACATCTGATGGGTATAAGCTGCTCTGGGAAACACCTTACTTACTCTTTTATGGTAAGATCAAGGTTGATTGTGGTTAACACATAAAACCTTCTTTGTAAGGTACCTTTATATTTCCTAAATTCCAAGCTTATTTCAATGAAATAAAGATCTGCCTTCCTCTCAATTCCCCTCTGGAAGTCCACTTCTTTAGTGCCAAAGACAATTGTGCTGTCTCACCCTTTCTAAAAGGGCTTTCTGTAGTACGGTCTTAGAACAGGTAGGGTTTCTTTGACAGCAAATTTTGACAGTGCATAGATAACACTGCTTAAAAAGAAAGCAAAAGAAAAAAAGAAAAAAAAAAGGTCAATTTGGAGCTTTTCTCTACTGCTGATCCCCTAATGTGAAGAGCTTCAGAATCTCAACACTTGAATATCTCTCGAGGATGGTGACTCTACAGCCTCTCTGGGAAACTTGCTTCAGTGTTCACTCACATTCATAGTCTTTTTTTTCTTTTCCTTTTCTTTTTTATTTTTTTTTTAATGTTTCAGCAGAATTTCCTGTGTTCTGATTTACGCCCATCTTCCTCTCATCTTCCCACCAGACACCGAGTAGTGCATGGCTCCCTCTTTTTCACTCCTTCCCATCAGATTTACACATGCTGGTAAGACAGTTCATGTCTTTCTGCACGCTGGACATCTGCCATGGATTCATCTCTGTTACTGACTGCTAATTTTAGTGACCGTTCACATCACTGATATTATTATTCATGGAAAGTTATTTCATGGCAGTGGTTGCTATAAACCATGGCAGCAGAGTCACATTTTATAGTCCATTTCTGTTTTTTTTTTTTTTTCTTCTTAAAATTCTTAAAATTCTAACCTCTTTTCTTTTTAAATGCTTAATGTCAAACATAGAGAGACAATAGCAGTATTAATAGCAGTATTATAACAGTATTAATTATGGAGAGTAAAAACCTGGATTATGCCTCTTACATATACTGCAAAGTGTGTTCATCTCTTAAATTTCATTTGTTTTAGAGGTACTGAAAATGAGGGATTTCAGAAGTACATTAATTATAAAATCTTACTCTAAAAATAAAAATCTCTTGAATTAAAAATAACTTTAAGAATAAATTACTCCTCTACTAAGTGAAAAAAAAAAATCAAAAAAAAAAAATCAACTTTTACAATGACAGAATATCCACAAAATGGTGGGGTAAATGAAGTCTGCAGTGGCAAAAGCAAAATCTCCAGACCAGCTCTGCTGGGGACTCCCACATTATGTAAGTGACAATTAAGCAGGTGTGATGACGAATGGGCAGGAAAAGTATCTGGCAGACATCCAACAGTGTATTTCACATCATCAAAAACAGGCCCAGAGCTGCCCTTTCCCCTAATGCAAATTTGCTTCATGAAGAAATCTGCTTCAAGCAGGAGTGAAATTTTTATCCGCTTATGACATGTAGGGAAAAAATATCAACTGAATTTGGATCTAAGAACACATCAGATCTTCTCTTGGGAGAAGTGAGAACTTCAGTCCCATACAGAAATCAAAAGGAATTATCAGTGTTCAGAACTTGTCAGCCTACCTCCTTAGTGGTGTAATATGTGACTGTGATATACTAGACACTGAAATTAGTAAAAATTCCATTTTGAAGGCTAATGAAGCTGAATTTTGAAATGAAAAATGTTCAAGAGATAAATAAGAACGTATTTCTGCGATCTCAGAGTAAGTTACAGAGAATTACATTATGAACAAATTTTGTATGTTGTCCTGAATTTGGTAAACATTTGCAATTTCCTAAGCCACGTGTATTGCTGTTACCACATTGCTTCATTGATAAACTGCCAGTAGTGCTCGCTATTGCTAAGTGGAAGCGCTCTACACAGTGTAAATACATCCATGAAGAAAAAACGACTGCTGTCAGCCTTCAGAGTAGGAGCTGCTTTCTCTTTTGTCCTTAAATAACATTTGTCCTTAGTTAAAAAAAAAAAAACAAAGTGTCAAACCTGGCCTCAGAGATAAAGCTACAAACTTGTAGTCAATGCTACTGAATGAATATATTCTCTTACTAATGAAAGTATTTCAGGAGCAGAGTTTTGGAAGAAAAACATGAGGGCACCTGTGAACATTAGAAATTAGCAGCCAGTACCTGCAGAAACTGAAAATGTGCAGCTGTTCGTAAGACAAGAAACGGGAGCAGTTATCAGTAACATTAATGACAGACACCTCAAGGTCACTTCAGAGTACTTAAATGCCAAACATCTTCAAAGTACTTCTACACACATCCAGAGCTTTGTGTGTAGTTTTAACCCTGCTTAGTTTCATAGCAGCTGAGATACTGAATACCAGAGTAGGTAACCATATCTCTCCAGGAAAAGGGAGCTTGTAGCAAGCTCCATTGGCACTAGATGCCATCTTGAAATATATTCTCCAGTCAGTCAAGCATTCCATTAGCAAATTCACATCTGAAGTCTTTGGCAAGGCAGGAACATTGTACTCTCTTGCCCTGGGAAATTACACACATAAGGTGAACTTGACAGCCATTTTGATACCTGGTAATATGCTTTAATGCATACTGACTCTGTTTTGTTTTTAAAACCGAGCAAGGCCAGCACATATGTTTGAGAGTGGATATCTGCCTATGCTGGGCACTATTTCATGAAAGTCAGGTTTCTGTCACAGATCTAAGGCAAATATTACAATTTACAGGAAAAAAAATGAGGACATCAATACATTGTGCGTTGCTGGAGACATACAGCTTTTATAACACAGTAGCTTTCACTATGATTTCTGGGTTCTCTATGTCCTTTTTGCTTTGGACCATTCTCAGTTCCAGATTGGCTGAGTTTGGTTTGTTTCCTTCTCCAGCTTGTGCTAAAAAGATGACATGAGAAGGTCAATAAAAACGGCAGTTTAAAAGTAAACAAGTTGCAATGTCTGATACCCCATTATATTTTTCCTCTCTCCTCCCACTTCCCTTACTACCCTTGCTAAAGGTTTCTGAAGTAGAAGATGCAGATCAGCACTGTATTTTCTCAGCACCTCTGCTCTGCAGCACCTCTCTCCAGAAAAGAGCACAGCTCTACAGTCAATTAGAAAGACACAAAGACATGCTTTGGGAACCCACTGTTCCCATCTCGATCTCCTTAGAAGTTGATAGACATGGGAACTCAATGGTAAAAGCAGCTGAAAAATGATTCTTCACATGGCCAACACGGCAAACAGACTGATTATTACTGGTTGACAAGCCCTTCTCAATACCAAGCACATGCACTAAAAGGTAAAGTGAGTGAGCTATATTTAAAGCAGAATCTCCTCCGCACATCAAACTCAGTATTTCCTCAAGTTCTTTCACCACTGCTTTGCAAAGCAGTCAAGCACTGCCAGCATACTGCAGTCCCAATATAAGCTGAACAGTGACACCTTCAGTCTGGTGTTATCAAAAATAGGGCTGGAGGACACAGTAAAGAGCATACACTGACAAGACTCCCTAGCTCTCATTCTCTAAATTCTCTGGGAGCTTCTGCACTGAAAGCTACTTTTCTGTGTCAGGAAACCCAGAAAGCTACCTAAATGTTTCTTTCAATGTAAACCCAGGCAAAGAGAGGGAAGAACAAGGTTTGAATGAATTACCTTTTGCACTCTTAATGGTCCTCTGCAGAACGTGTTGCATGGCTGACACAGTCTTTTCACATGCCACCTGCACATTACCATGACATGTTTAGGTTGTAGTAAAACTTCAGTTGCTCAGTTTAGTATTATTAATGCTACTACTCAGGCAAACAACTGGCAAGACACAAACATGGTGACAATGAGGTAGTTTAGAAAAAAAAAGGTTTTTAGAGTCTCTCAGCTCTACCCAGACAAGTAGTAGAAACCATACACTTGTATCAATGACTCTACAGACAAAAGAGAAAGAAACAGAATAGATAAACAGTTTTCAATGCTTATTATGAAGTGAGGATAAAATGTATTTATAAATGTGAAAACGAAGTCTCCAGAGGCAGAGCACCTTATTTGACAAAGCTACAAAATACTGAAATTGACCATGCCAAGTTGTACAAGCTAAAATCTTGTAGGAAAAGGGACGTTCTGCTTTCTTTACTCTGAAGCAAGAAAAATTTCTAATCAGATGAGAGTCCATAAATAATATAATAGATTAAAACTTATTAAAAAAGAAACGAAGTCTGAACTTGCAAATAGGTGAAAAACCTCTTCCATACCTTCAAATTGTTTGGATGTTTATGTGTCCATGCCAAAAGCATAGCAGCAAACAAGTCTCCTGTTCCAACAAAGACAGCATCCACTTTAGGAGATTCCACTCGAATTCTCTGTGTTATCTTGGTACCATCTGCATTAGCTGCAACACAGAGACACAGTTAAGCAATTAATACAACAGCACCTACTATAATTTAAAAATGATAATCAGATTTGAATTCCTCTGTTGTTTGGAATGTAAAGATGCCAAGGAGTACTGCAAACTTTGTACCAGTTCTTTTTCAATTCAGTCCCAAAACTCTGCTGAGTAGGATAGCCTTTACAACTTACGTACTTCACTTTTGTAAGAAAAGGGAGCTACATACAGAAATGGGAGCCTAAAATGTTTCATTTAGACTGCAGCAGCACTTTGCTCAGATGCTGAGCAAGGGAATCTGCTGAAACCTAGGTGGACCATACCCAACCAGAATCTAGAGAACCTCTAGAGTAGGAACAGCAGAGAATATCTGATCCACGTGCCATGTTGTTGTTGCCCCTGGAATTATATAACTTACTCAAGATTGGCATGTACTAAGCACTAACAAACATCAAGAGATTCTCAGTGTAGTCTAGATGAAATAGCAGTACATTTTTTTTGTTTGTTTCTCAGTCCAGAAAGTGGCACCTAGACTGAGACCACACAGACAAAAAAAAAAACCAACAAGATTATCTACCACATCAGTAACTCTGTTCTTCTCACGTAGAAATATCCTGCAACAATCCAAACACACAGTGACTCTTTGTGATGGTACAGAGGGAATAGAAACAAGCAGAAGGGCGTTTTACAACCAAATATCAGGGAAGAACAATCTGTTAACAAAACAGTTAAACTTTTCATTAATGCCTCTGAGCCATCCAAAAGTTCTCTTTCATACCATTACTGCTTGTCAGGACCACTATTATGGATTTCAATAGCATTGATCACCCTCACACAGAACACCTACTCCTGTATCTTCTGCCCACTGGCCCAGAAGCTGTGCAGATGCTCAGGCCTGATGCATCTGTGCCTGAGCCATGCGGTAGGAGTACCTGCATCCTGTCCTGCTCTCCTCACTTCCTGACTGGAATTTGCTGATCAATCTCTGACCTACGTTGTCTCACCTTTCTTTGATGATCACTGGTCTGTCAGTGGGATCTGTATGCTACCACCATTCTGTTCTGCTCACCTTGTTCAGACATGCTATAGTCACCCCCACCTCTCAGCCTGTCTTTCCTCATTGAGCAGCCCTGTTCTTAGTGCTCCCTGGTGTTACTGTACAGGAGGAGGAGTTCACTTAAGGAATTATCTCCTTGAACTACAAGTGGATCTGATGAAATCATTTCCTCACAAAGTGACTGAAAGCACTGAACTAGTTTGTTTGTTTGTTTGTTTGTTTAAAAAAAAAAAAGACCAAACATACTAATGAAGCAGTTTGTAACTTACTTTTCCTGTAGCTTCCCAGAGCAATCAGGTAGTCGTTTCCTAGCGATGCCTGTAGATCTGAGCTGGTTATCACCACAGTCTCTGGTCCCATGGCATGGAGCATATCCATTACCTTCCCATGTGCAAAAAGGCAGGAATCAGTGATCAACGTGTGTTGATTAAACCTTGCATCATCCAGAGCAATTTTTCACAAGCACATTATTTTGCCATCTTTTGTAGAGAATGAATGGTTTTCACTCAAATAATTCACTTGAATTAGTGGTATTAATTTGAAATAGGGGAATCATTCATATTTAATGCACACACTTGTTCAAATATCCAAGTATCTCTGTTAAATTTGGATGCTTCTCTGAAATAGCTGAAACAGAATGTTCTTTATCAAAACTTTTCTCTGCATCATGTTTCCAAAACATACTATCAAAAGAACAAGAGAACAAGTACAGAGAGACATGCATCTGAGCTGGTATCTTTAAACACATACTACAAAGGTAAGAAGTTCAGGCCGGGAAGTATTGTTTAGTTACATATTTAGGAGTTAGCAAAAACAACAACTTAAATAACTGAGTTGGAGGCACGACTGTGCCTATCTCCATCTTCCTTTCCCATTCTGTTACAAATACAAAATATTCACCAGTAAATTATGTACCTAATAGATGAATTACCTCTCAATGTATTCCTCACTTAAAACCATTAATGCTCTACTTCTGACACCACAGCTGGTTGTTACAAGACTGGTTTTGATTCCACAGAAGAATGAATGACTTTAGGTAATGAGTTTAGCATAAAATACATAAAATATTAGTTCTCCCAGAAAGTGTTGAACTAAAAATTCCCTTAGGCTGGCTATGACGCATGAACAATTGAATGGTAAGGACTAATATGTGCTTTTTAAAAATTCTCTGTCTTTTGTCTAGTAAGCCTCCAAGTTTCTTCAGCTGTCACAACTCTCTGCACAGACATCAGTTGGGTTTTAAAGAAGCAGTGAGCTCACAAACACATGCTGACATGATCAGCCCGCGAATAACATTAAACTTGATTTCTCTTCTCATCCACAATTTAACAAGCATCTACTCTATTTCCGGTTGTGGGACCCAGCCTCCTCTACATTAAACTTAGGCTACACTTAATTTTTTGTTAAAAAACAAAACAAAACAAAAAAAAACCAAAACAAAACAAAACAACTCCGCTGTCACCACTGGTCTTGCTGAAGAAATCAGTGAAAGCATGTCACCTTGGGAATAGATAGCAGAATTCCTACCATCTCCAAAGGGAACAAATTCCAGCACGAATTATTACTTTGAAGGAGAGACGTGTATATAATAGGCAGCTCAATGAGAAAGACATATTTAAATGTAATAACCTGCAAGCAGCTTTTAAAAAATGTTTCTATCCTAAGTCTAATTCCATCAAGTTGGCTGGAAGATGATACCAAGTTGGCTGGAAGTGTGGATCTGCCTGGTGGTAGCGAGGCCCTACAGAGGGACCTGAACAGGCTGGAGAGCTGGGCTGAAGCCAATGGGATGAGTTTCAACAAGGCCAAATGCCGGGTCCAGCACTTCGGCCACAACAACCCCAGGCGACGCTACAGGCTTGGGGCGGTGTGGCTGGAGGACTGCGTAGAGGAAATGGACCTGGGGGTATTGATTGATGCTTGGCTGAACGTGAGCCAGCAGTGTGCCCAGGTGGCCAAGAAGGCCAATGGCATCCTGACTTGCATCAGAAACAGTGTTGCAAGCAGGAGCAGAGAGGTGATTGTTCCCCTATATTCAGCACTAGTGAAGCTGCACCTCGAGTACTGTGTCCAGTTTTGGGCCCCTCACTGCAAGAAAGACATTGAGGCCCTGGAACGTGTTCAAAGGAGGGCAACAAAGCTGGTGAGGGGTCTGGAACACAGGCCATATGAGGAGAGGCTGAAGGAGCTGGGAATGTTCAGCCTGGAGAAGAGGAGGCTCAGGGGAGACCTCATTGCTCTCTATAACTTCCTGAAGGGAGGTTGTAGTGAGCTGGGGGTCGGCCTCTTCTCTCGTGTCATTAGTGATAGGACCAGAGGGAATGGCTTCAAGCTACGGCAGGGGAGATTCAGGCTGGACGTGAGGAAGTATTACTTTTCAGAAAGGGTGGTCAGGCACTGGAATGGACTGCCCAGGGAGGTGGTGGAATCACCGAGCCTGGGGGTGTTCAAGGAAAGACTGGATGTTGCGTTGAGGGACATGGTTTAGTAGGAGCTATTGGGAATAGGTGAACGGTTGGACTGGGTGATCTTTTAGGCCTTTTCCAACCTTGGTGATTCTATGATTCTATGATCTTCACAGGAGATTTTTAAAAGCTTAAAGAACTAGCATTCATGAGTTGGAAAGTTGTAATTGTTTAGCACATGAAACTAATATTTGCTGTTGTAACATGCAAACCAAAAACCAACAGGTGCTCAGCCAATAGAGTTGTTCTGAAGACTATGGTACCACTTGGGAGGATGAGAATAGAAGAAACGAGTAACAGTTAGCAGCTAGGTAGCATTCAGCACCCTCATCCATCACAGCGCAGTAATATAGAACTGATGTGAAAAGGAAAACTAACTCAGATCTTTGGAGCTGCTTTTTGCTGCGAAGAGATGGTAGTCAGCTGACACTGCATGACGTTGCTGGAGGAAAAAAACAATAAACATTAGGGCTGACTGAGCCCAGCTACTCTCCAGGGTTCCTCTGCAGCTGCTGTTTGTTTAAAGATTGTGTTCCTTTGAAGTTCAAAATCAAACTGGCATAAATGACATCAGTCCATTATGAAAGCACTTGACTTGTCAACAAAACAAAAAGCTCAGATCTTTTTTAAAAACAAACATAAAACTACATTCCTATTTTGTCCTTCATCACCATACCCTATAGCTTTTTAAAAGTTATTCAACTTGTGTAAAAGGGTAAATCCTTACACCTCCATGCAGTGCATTTGCAGATTACCTATCATTAATGTAGGATGATGAGAGCAGCTGCCAGCACTCCAGATCTGCCCACCTTTCACCAGGAGTTACCTGAGGGTCATCACTCCCAATCCATTTTCCCATCTATGCACTACTTTTGCAATGCAGGTCTCATGGCCTGCAAGTCAATTTCCAAAACAAAGAAACAAAACAACAGCCAACGCTGTATTTGGTCAATCCTCTTCAAGAGTTTCCTAGTAAGCTCTCTTCCTAGCAAACTGTGTCAATGGGAGAATGAGAAATAGCCGTGCTATCACTCAGCATTGCTGCTGCACGACTAGCATGTGGACAGCAGAGGGAGCGACTTACGCAGGTTTCTAATGATCAGAATCCCTCGGGGTTTTCACCTCAGCCAATGACAAGGAACCACACTGTCAGCAGTACTGGTCTGCATGCATGCTGCTGCTTCCCTCCTACACTGCAGAAACTCAGTGACCTGCTCATTAACACTGCACTGTCTTTATTTGTAGCTCTTTCGGGAAGTTTCTTCAGAAGTCTGACATGAGAACAGAGAACATTTTGCACACTGACAGTACAAGGCTTTAACGACTGATGGAGAGAGAGAGGCCAAAGTGATTTCAAGGTTAACAACAAATGGCAAACACTGCAGGTAGAGTTAAAGAATAAGATCTTGCACAACCTATTCTTTATTTACTTACCTCTAAAGCATCTTTTTCTGTGTAAATCTTCCTCCCAGTAAGTAACCTGAGAATGAAACAGAAATCTTGAAGGAGCACACATCTCCCAGGCAATAACAGCTTTGTTTATTCTTTGAAAGGATGAAAGCTTAGACTTAAACAATTTGTTCACTATGCAGTCTGCTGTACCAGACTGCAGTCTTTAGAAGTCACATGCACAGATACACAGTGCTTCTGCAGCATGATTGTATCAGTTCTAACCAAATTCTGTACCCTAACATTACTTCATGAGCATTTTCTCTCCATCTCCTGCATAGCTGCTCCCTCCCTTTAGGGGAACAGTAGTAATGTATCATAACAGATCATCTCCTGACCAAAGAGTCATGGCTATGGAGACAGGGTGGGGATGAGGCAAATTCTTATTTCACATCAGATGTTGCCATGGTGGTATTTCTAAATCAAAATCAGGGAGTTTTAGTCAAACTATTTCAGTTTTTAATATTATGACATATAATACAAATTTTTGCAGGAATGGGTAGAACAAGAGAGGGGAGAGAGGTATTTTTTCAACCTGTCCTAGATATATAGTCTCTGGAAGCAGTCATGTAAAATGAGAGACTGGAGAAAATAAAATAATGGTGTTCCTCAAATAAATCCCCTTTTTTTTTTTTCTCCTGGTTTCAGTATAGAACAGTTTGAAGAAGAGCAGTACTTTAAAGCAACAGCTAAAAACTAAAACCCAACACATGCATACATACAGTACTATACTGAGACAAATGAAAGAATGAGTACCAGCCTCCCGTTTTTATCCCTGGGTTTACTTGAGTATAAAAGAAATGGAGTACTCACTCAGCCTCAAACTGGTTAGGAGTAATTATATCAGCAACGGGTACAACTTTGTCCCTATAGACTGGGAGGAGATCCTTAGGCACATACTGAGGGAGAAAAAATAGTATGAAGTGTCATCAGCTATTTCAGATATGGGAGTGACACGCTCCTTCCCTGAACTACCATTCATGCTGACACTTCGTAATCTTAAAGCTCCCAGTGTACTGTTAGGTAGAAGGAATTAAAGTGGCTGTGCACTTTGCAGCTGGTGACAGTGGGAGGTGACTGAAACCATCACTAAGTACACCTAAACTGCATTAAAAGGAAGCGATGTCTAGACAAAGAGTTTTGGGGTTCCCTCTTACCAAGATGACAAAGCAGTATAAGGAACAAAAATGGGAAACACTTTTTCTTGCCCATATCTCTAAAATAAACTACTTTGCTGTAGTACCAATGGAATGGAGGTTCTCTGCTGCATCACTGCAATACATTGGTTGTATTACACTGTAGGGACTGAGGAACAAGCAACACTCTTGTTGTGTTATTTTGTCCCCTCTTTTCAGTGCAATATTTCTAGGGTGTGCTACACATTCATACACATGAATGCTAAGCCACTCACATACTTTGGTGACTTTAAGTAATGAGGGCCAATGCTCTCTCTTCTGCATTCCTGTTCCACCTCTATCCCATCTTCTTTAGCTACATACAGCCCATTAGCAAAGGCAGACTGGTTCTCTTATTAGGTGACATACACCAAGATGCAGCAGGAGCCTAAATGACTGTAAGCCCTTCAGACTTGGAAGAAAGTTGAAAAGCATCAGCTTTTTTGGCACGGAATGGAGTTCATCAAGGAGCTAAACTGCAGGCCTCAGCTCACCTTCCTGCATCCTGTTGTAGCTCTATTTAACAAAGCCTATATTAAAGTTCTTTGTTTACTAGTAGCTATTCTTCATTAGCAGCCCATTTTCCAAATCAGGATTAATCTTTCCTTTTGTCTACGTTTTATTTTCTCTATTAGGCACATCAGCTACATAGGACAGGGTGTACATACAGACGCATCCTGTGTTCACCTCCTGCTTCAGCTGTATTAGTGACAGATAAAACCTCATTATGTTATTGACCATTAGGTGATATCAGAACACCCAGCATCTTGGGACTGAGCTCACTCATGTTGTCTTGATGAAGTAATGATGCCACTGGACTCTGATTTTAGACAGGAATGCAGGACTAGGTCACATCTAAATCAAGACCTCTTAAATAACTGTTTTATTACTTTTTACATCAGAAGTGAGTTGGTGGGTTGTGTGCTAAACTTTCTCATCTTATTCCATCTACCTTGTGTTCTACCCAAAAGATATGGGTAAGTCTATGGTTATGACTTCTCCCAAGAGCTTTTCAAAGTCACTCTACAGCTAATGCATCTCTACAGCTACTGTATTTCTGACTTGTTAGAAAAAGCCAAGGACAATAAATATTGCAATAGACATAAAATAAAAGCATGAGACCACAAAATCAATGGCAAATTTATTACTAAGTGCTACTTCACATGACTTTTCAGGAGCAGGTAAACTGTAAGAAGGTACAAGGACAAAGAGAAAATCATAGTGTGTGACCAGCTAAGGCAGAAGAAAATATTTTCTATCATCATTGCTGATCTTTTCCCACATTCCACTTTTACAGAAACAATCTGCTATTGTTAAGAATGAAACATTTCCTTGTTTGCAATGCACTGGCACACCAAACCTTTCCGTCTCTGTCACTGTAACAGCCCAACGCCTAACAGGCATCACAACTCACATGAAATGAGTCATCTTCATTTAGGTTCAGGTGGTATGCCAATTCATATAATCACAGAACGTGAGCAAGCCTACCAGCTGGAACTGCTATCTTGACAGAAGATGAGAGAACTCCAGAGAGAAGTGGAGGGGAAGCAGGGGGATATTTTCCTCTGGACAGGGTACATAGACTACCTGTTCTCAGCAGGGAATTAAGAAAAAGTCTCAGGGCTATGCAGTCACTATCTTCCCTTATACTAAACTCAAGCAAATATAGTAGCTGTAGTACAAACGTAGTTGATGCTGGGATTCAAAGCCACACTTGAGGAAAATGGTTTAGTCTTTGGTTTAAAACCAGTAAAATTCTATGCATATATACTTATACAGCAAATACTCAATATACCAAGAAAAAGATAAGTACTAACCATGGAGCCTTCTCCATTCCATTTGTCTCCCATCACTGGATCACACACTGTAACAGAGAATAAATCTAGTTTTAGAAGTGGGGCCCTATTTTTACTTAAGTGCAAAATTATACTCGCCCAACATACACACAAAATGTTGTATTGTACACATTAAAATTATGTGTATTAAAAAGAAACAAAAAGAAAATCCAGAACAAAGGACAAACTCAAATTTAATGTAATAACACACACTTGGCACGTGTCCTGAATCTTGTTAACAATGTATTTTAAGTGCCCTCAGTTCCAAGAAAGAATGGAAACAGCCTAGCCTTGTACTTGAAAAAAGTAGTAATTGCCTTAGTAGAGCTTCCAGCAAGATAAAAAAAAATACAAATTGCAAAGTATCAAATCAATGTCTAATTAGTATTTAAACAAATTGCAAAGTATCAAATCAATGTCTAATTAGTATTTAAGGAAGTTTCTACAAATAACAAGTTTCATTTGTTTGAAAGGATTTTCCTTACAACATGATCCCACTACTAAATATAAAGGGTCTTAGAAATCTTGCTAAGTTCTCTCTACCTGACCACTTCCTCACCATTCTGTGCTTCTTTCTGTTCATACCTCAACACAGCCTTTAGCTTTCACAATACCAAATCGTACTGCAAACTGAAAAACTGAAAATCAAGTTCATGGAGATCTCTTCACTACACCTTCAGAACAAGAACTGTACTTTGTTAACTCTAAATCTGCCATCAGACTGTGCAGTATGGTGCCCTGCAAACCCTGTTAACCATCACAGATGCCTGACAACACAGTTTGTTGAACCTGAAGATGGTTCAGCCATCATTCCCAGTTCTTTACCCCAGTAAATGCCACTGACTTTGCTGTGTTACTGTGAATTCTTTGCTCAGTTCAAGCCCATGCTGGTTGAGTTTCATACTGAAACACTCAGGGAATCTCTTCTCACAGGTCTGTTGCTCTTCAAGCATTCCCAGGTAATCTTAACAGAGGGAACCAGAGTTAAACATGCCTCACAGCTTAAGCCAAATTATTAAGCTTATAAGGCACGTTAATATACCTGTGAGATGTAACAAGAAACCACATCAGGGCAGTGTGGGAGAGTCTATCCTACTTTTGACTGACCTGGAAATCAAGAAGAGGCTTCAGCCATTTGTGCTCCCAGCCTGTGCTTATGAATACAAACAGCAACAGCCAGCTGGGATTTCACAAAACTTCCTTTCATACATTACTCCTTAATACACGCTTTTCTTTGGACATTTCATAACATATGAAACATACTGAAAGGCATAATATCACAAAAATCAAATCAATTTTCAATAATGCTGAAATGAAAATTCATTGGAGCCTGAGCTGGTCCCAGCCAGATCAGAGCACAAGATGGCCAAAATACTGGGTTACATCAGACTGACATTTTCGTCCTAAAATGTGAAATGATGGGCATATACAACAAAGTAGCAGAAAGAATTATAACTCACATCCTTACCATATACTAGGTTAGAATTCTGTTGCTTCAACTCTTGCACGATATCCACCACCATTGCAAGAAATGATGTGTCTCTTGTATATCCTTGAGAAGAAAAAAAAAAACAAAGAAAAATATCTTTGAAGTAGATTTGCAGGAAAGTTTTTTTTTTTTTGGGCGGGGGGAGGGGAGCTGGTCAATGCATAACAGAGAATGGCATTTTTTAGTATTTTTTTCAGAAGTAACAGGTGGAAGGCAAATCAAGGCACTCTCTACTCGCCTAGAAATACAATTCAGAAATTCATTTGCTATATGCATGATACATTTAGTGCTCATATGACTTCAAAATGCTTGGACGTACATACAAAAAGGGTTGGACAAAAGGAAAAAAAAAAATGTCCTTCTCTTTAAAACACCAGTTTGAACCAGCACTATTTCATATATAAAAATATTCTAAGTTCCATATACTTTTCTCATATTCCAGTTAGAAACAGTGTGGATTTTTTTCTTCCAACATATTAATGCAATGGAGAATTAATCTTGACCATTTCAGAGCAATGGCCAATATACCAGTAAAATTCCTAATTTGGCTTAGCAGTGAAATAAGTTGTAAAATGATTTTGTTACATCACAAGGCCCTCACCACAATGGTAGCACTACAACATTTGTATAGTTATTAATTTATAATACCTGTTTCTTCATTTATATATTTACTATTGTGTTTATTTTATATATTCATTTTATTTATAACGTATTAATTAGTAATTTCATTTTCATTTCCTTTAGTTCATGTAGTAGCATTATTCTAGCAAGGCAGTGTCTTCAGCTTGGAAATGCTCATTCCAGTAAAATGTATTTTTAGAGATTTTTTTTTTTTTAAGTTGTAAAATTGTTCCAATTTTTACACACTGAGAAGAAATGGAAGAAACTTCCAAGATTTTGAGGCAAAATGCTCTGTCCGTATTAATGATAGTCAGCAAAAAAATAAACAAGGAAAGATTTTGTTTTAAAATGGGCTGTAATGTTAGACTGACTTAATAAAAAACAAAGTAAACATTGGTGATAGAGGCATTTCAAAAGCACCACAGTGAATCTGTGTTTATCTGGCACCTTGAATGCTTTACTGCAAATAAAACAAAGAGATGAAGATCCACAAGTAAGTGACAATCACAAAAGCTAATGAGGTGCCATTTTACAGAATCAGACTAAAGAGAATCATTTCCATTTCAGCCATGATATCTACAGTAATCAGACATGCAGTCAAATACAACCAACTGATAAATTAACGTAAGTGTTTGATAAATCAGGTCATCTGAGGTAGCAAGCTATGGCTGTGCAACACAGTGAGTCACTGTCTCTGCCTGAAGAGAAAAATCTTTTGACCTTGGATGAAGAAAGCCAGATATTTAAGTTCAGCTACAAATCAACTCAACACTTAACAGATGAGATCATAGGAAGTGAGTGCCACTTTCACCCACTTCTCATTGTCTACACTTGAATACACTGAACAGGAGTTTTAAACAAACTTGTACAAACCACAAACCTATCTATACACATATCACATTTTAAAAGGCATTTTAACAGTTTTTTCTTCAAAATGTCTTCTACAGGTGAAGATTTCTGATCTGATGCATTTTTGCCAGTAGAAGACACTAAAAGAAAAGGAGTTGGGGCAACTGTCAAGAGTGAAAAGTAAAATAAAAAAGGAACACCTTAAAAAAAAAAAAAAAGAAAAGAAAAAAAAAAAACCAAACACCTCAAACACTGTTTGTTGCTTACTAACACTTCCTGAAAACTCCTGCAATACAATTGGCTCTTCTAGGAAACGGCCTCTAGGTGTCTACTTTCAAGGAAGGAGGTGCTGGAGCAGGTCCAAAGAACGGCTACAGGGCTGTGAAGGGCTTGGAGAATATGCCCTATGAGGAGAAACTGAAGGAAATGGGGTTGTTTGGCCTGAGGAAAAGGAGGCTGAAGGGAGACCTCTTGCCCTTTTCAAATACCTGAAAGGGGATTGCAGTGAGAGTGGGGTTGGTCTCTTCTCACTGGGACAGGACGAGGGGAAATGGCTCCAAGTTGTACCAGGGGATGTTTAGGTTGGATATCCGGATACACTTCTATACAGAAAGAGTTGTTAAGCACTGGAATAGGCTCCCAAGGGGGTGGTTGAGTCACCATCCCTGGATCTGTTTAAAAACCGTTTGGATGTGGTGCTCAGGGACATGATTTGGCGGAGGGTTGTTAGAGTTAGGGTAGGATGGTCAGGTTGTGGTTAGACTTGATGATCTTTAAGGTCTTTCAACCTGAGCTACTCTACAATTCTATGATAGAAAGGATGTTCTTCTATTTTTCAATCTTAATGAACCCATTTATGCTGAAATAGATTTCTTAATTTTAACTCAGTCTATTTTCTATTTAGCCTCCTTTAATTTGGAAAGATGTCCTGAGATGGAAGGAAATGTAGCTTTTTAGATATACCATATCCTTCAATCCAGTATGTCTGCTCTGGGGTTAAATCCATTCAGTTAAAGTCTCCAGTTTTCCTTGTGTACAAAGAAAGCACCTTCCTACATGAGGAAGCTGCGAAGTTAATTAAATCAGGCAATTTAATTCTATTTACCTTTAAAAAGTGGCTGCTCACTGCAATAAAAAATGATACTGTAATCTAAACCAGATGCATACCTCCCACTGAGGGGAAACCCCATCAGTACTCTACTCTGAAGAAACAGGAATTGGATGAGAAGCAGTTCGTAATTAAAAATGCTCTTATAATCTCTAGTTTTATAAAGCATTATACATGAAGTTCCCTTTGCAGTATTTATGAGCACTTTCCACACAGTGATGCATAAAATTATGTCCCACAGAACTGCATCTACTTGGGGAAAATGAAAGGACCTGCAAGAACAAAATATCAAGAAATACAACAGACTAGAATACAAAATCTGTATTGAAAACACAACCTTTTGAAGATCAGGTAAGTAAAACATGGACAGATAACTACAAATAGAAATTACTGATTGTACAGCAGAGAGCTACTAATGAGAATTTAGTAGAAAGAGTCTTCAGGACGAATTTAAAAATAATATTCTGACATTCCTCTTTTTTTTTTTTTGGAGTTAATATTTTGTGAGTGACTATGTCTGTACATGACTGGCCTGTGCAAGTCTGTTAGCTATAGATGAGGATCAATTAACCCATTCAATGACAGCCTTCAGGCAGGAAAAGACAGTTTCAAACTAAATAGCATAAGCAGTTATGACTACAATATACAACTGAAATTACAGGAGATTGAGAAGAAACATGTAATTTCATAGTTTGGAATAAGGAAGGATGCGTGTTATGTATGGAAACTGTTGAGTCACGTCCTGAACCACTGATTCATCAGCCCTATGAGCACAAGTGAAGGCAATTCAGCTTTGTGACAAGAAGGGGTGGAGCCCAGCTGCACCTCTCTTAGATCCCATTTAAGGGCTGACTGCCACTGGGGAAGAATCTATTTCTGGAGGCCTCTCTTTGGTAGAGCTTTCCCTTACGAACCTGGAATCTTCCAATATGGGTAAGCAATCTTCTTCCCTTATAGCACCTTTCTATCATGCCGATCCTTCTGTCATTACACCTCTGGTGAAACACCTTTTCCCACCACATTGATATCTCTATGCTCATTTACATTTCGTGTGAACTCCAAAAAAAAAAAAAAAAAAAAAACCACCAAAACCCAAGTCATTTTTACCTGTGAGTACATAATCATATTGGTTGACCTTGTTCAGCTTAAGTCCTTCATACAGTTCATGAAGTTCATCAGAATTTAACACCTGACCCTTCCAGTGGGCATAACCTGCAAAAGAAAAGCCAGGTAATTTTACAAGCAAGATATCCTAATCAGGATTACAGAGTTCAAACACTTGGAGGAACAGTATCAGACATCATCAGCAAAAGGCATTTCTTTCTCTTATGCACCACTGTTGAATGAAGACTGCTGTCAGCAGAATTGCTCCATTCTCAAACAACCACTGTTTCCCAGAGGAACTAGTGACACTACTATGGAAATTTAGATTGCCCATTCATCAGTGAAATGAGTAGAGCACACACAAGCTCACCTACGTTTTCCCATGGAGCCTACACAACTGTTTCTTTCCTGTTGTGAGGGGGATAGATATATTTTACGGGGAGCCTCATTATGGGGAGGCTATCAGTGGAATCTATTTTTGATATTTCATATTAGTACAAAAAAAAAAAACCCACAGACAGCAGAATGACCATTAATTACTAGCCATGAACTCTGCACTATGCAGAGTGTAGATTCTGCCCAGAAGAAAATAGGCTTGTAGGTCTAACTGAAGATCTCTCTGCAGGCATGCAGAACTTTCACATTTGTAGTCAGAAGTAGCTTTCATTGGCACCTGCACACACTGCACAGAGTGACCACAGCAGAATAATGTCACAGGATGTTCTTTAAACATGTAATTTTATCTCACAGAGTGCATTCTGAAAAGAGGACAACTCTAATATTGAGGGTGCTGGAGGAAGCAAAAGAGTATTAGAAAGGCATCAAAAACCAGATGAACAATATCCATACCCTTGAATGATCCCTAGGAATTATAAACAGGTATTTTTGGCTGAGAAGTGAAAAAGAAAGCACTTCCAATCTTTGTTAAGTTCGGGGTTTGTTAAAAAGCTTTTCTTTTTATTAAGTGAGATTAGGAAAAGTGAAATGTTACACTAATATCTTCTTCCACACCAGCCCTGTGAAGAGAAAATGGTATTTTATCTTAATTCCTGCTCTTGGATTTGGAAAGTTCTGTGATAAAAACTCTTGGCTTTGACTATCGCTCTAAACTGTGTTATTAAAGTAATTGCTAAAAGGTGCCCAGAGACTAGGATAAGCACATTTTTCAGTTTCCCTTCTTATAAATGCAAAAACACCCACAGCAGGGTGAGCAGATGGATCATTTTGCTCTCCTCATCTCATGAAGGCCTGGTCCCTAAACCATGACTCTACGCCAGCTGGCGAAGGGACTGATCGCAGCAGCACTAGGATTTTCTCCTTAGTAAATGGGTTTTAAAAGTCCTTGCAAAGAAATGGGCTAAGCAGGAGATTCCCACACGTCAGGACAGTAGTTTCACTCCAGCAGAGATACTGTGGCAACATCTCACACCTAGGCATGCCTCTCGCTCCAAGTATGAGAGGAACCCTTGGCTGCAGCTGTCTCAAGCACTTGGCTTACTCACCATTTATACAACTGCTTGTTCTGCCACACCACGGTTTTAGAGAGACATAACCTAACCTCTCCTTTTTTCCCCAATCTATATTTCTATTGGCACTCCAAAGCCAGTTCAGATAGGGACACGATGCATTTGTATTCCACCACGTCCAGAATTCACTGGAGAAGCTCAGCTCATTCCTCCTAACACAGTAATTCACCAGGCATGCGAGGAGAATGCCCTCCTCTAGGGAAGAGCTGAGGGAAGCCACAGCTCCTTAAAAGAAAACAGGCAATGCCTTCACTGGATCTGCATGGAACTGGGATTCCACTGGGAGCTGAACTACGTTTGAGTGAGAAGAAATAAAATCAATGCTGATGGTGACATGGAAACCACCCTGAACCCTTTCCCCAGGGTATCCTCACATAACATGACAAATTAAGTGCATAAACCCATGACCCTGCCTTTATCTTACTTTCCAGCCAGATAGCTGCATCTGTAGAGAGACAGAAGAAAAAGGCAGTTGACTGTTGCTTAAAAAGGACCTTGGGGTCCCAGGAAGATGAAGGGAACTAATGTGAAACTGGAAAAGCATGGGTAAACTCTAGTAAGAATCCAGACAGATATTGGGAGGTCAAGAATACGATGTGCAGCTGCAAATAGCAAGGAATGACAAGAGCAAGCCTAAACATGTAAAGGCTTTGTGGAAAACCACCAGAATTAAGGACAATAAAGAAGAACCTCTGTATTTCTTGGCTGGATGTGAATACTTGTCAAGCAATGAGTGCAGCTGAAGTTGCAGAGTTGCACTGCAGCAAGACCTAAAGGAAAATCAGCACCCTAGAAACATTATTCCCATACCTATACCACTACATATGGATACTGGGAAACAGGAAGAAAAAAATTTAAGTCTTCTTTTTACTGCCACTTACTAAAGACTCTCCCTCTGCAATCATATCAGAGTGGCACTTAGCAATACAAAAGCACAGTCTCACAGCATCTGGCTATCTGCACACAGTGTACAAAAATCACAGCCAAGAAAACTTAATAATGAGTTCCAGGTTTGTACTTGGTAAAAAAACAAACAAAAAAAAAAAAAACTTGGTCCCATTTGCAAATTCCAATGGTGGCTAGGCACAGTAGAAAGATTAATAAATGTATCCTACATCTTGGATGTTAGTGTCAGATTATGGCTTGTGCCTTCCAAAAAGGAAGAAAGATGGATCTTCTTTCAGTTACAAAACCACTGAATAATTCCACTCAGTGCCAGACTAAGCGAGCAGAGGAACGCTGCCAGTCACGATACTGCTTCCCAAAGTTCCATTTACTCAAGCTGACTGCATTAGTCTCCCGGATTAATAAAAAGACTTAAACACATAGTTGAACATAAACTATAAAACATCTGCAAACCCTTCTACTTAACTATATTATAGCCTTTTATTGCAGTTAAATGTTACATATACATTCTAAGTAGGCAAGGGAATAAAAACCATGGGAGATATGGTGCTTCTTGCCTCTCATCCCTCTAAAAAGATGAACCTGTCCACTACTTTCCTGGGAAATTCTTTGTTCACCTGCTAGTAGTACAACGAAACGCCCAAGAGGAATTTATGTATTTTTCTTTTTTAACCTTCCTCCACTGGTACATTTTTCTTTCCCTTGGAATGCATTTATAAGCTTCTCAATTACTTTCAAGAACGAAGAGAAAAAGACTAAAAATCCCAGGCATATCAGAAGAAAAACAAAACAAAAACAAAGTCACCATTTAAGCACAGCAAGGCATGTAAGATTTCTTTGTTTCCAATGAGAAACATTCTGTTCTGAGGTTAGAGCTTCCTCTGTTGACTGCCTAGAATAATGTTCTGAGTGTCCAGTTGTGGGCTCCCTGTTTCAAAAAAGACAGATCTCCTAGAATGAGGCCAGTGGAGGACTGCAAAGACTATAAATGGCTTGGAGCATCTCCTGTATGAGGAAAAGCTGAGAGACCTGGGTCTGTTCAGCCTGGGGAAAAGACAACTGAGAGGAGATCTGATAAATGTTTATAAATATCCAAAGGGAGGTGGGAGGCAAATGGATAAGGCCAGGCTCTTCTCAGTGGAATGTAGCGATCGGACAAGGAGCAATGGCCTAAAACTTGAACATCAGGAGTTCTACACTAACATGCAGAAGAACTTCTTTACAGTAAGAATGATGGAGCACTGGAACAGTCTGCCCAGGGAGGTTGTGGAGTCTCCTTCTTTGGAGATATTCAGGACTCATCTGGACATTTACCTATGTGACCTATTGCAGGGAACTTGCTCTAGCAGCAGGTTGGACTCAATGATACCTTGAGGTCCCTTCCAACTCCCGTGATTCCATGATTCTGTGACACTTGTCAATAAGCAAGTATTTCACATGAGGAAAAGGAAGAAAGATCAGGTATTTAAGGCATGTGATGGACAAGCAGTCTGGTCTCAGCTGTGCAAAAAAAATTCACACGCAAACACTGCAGACAATCTGACCTAAAAGCATTACTTAATCTTCAGCTACAAGGAAGGCTTCAATCAGAAATGCAGTTCCAAGTTCTCCACTGGATAGAACTGGAGCATTATTTACAGCTGCTCAGTATGGGAGTAAAATATTGTCACTGTTAGGCACAAGGGAGGATTATTCCTTTTTGTCCCACACTCTGTAGTCGTGAGTGACTGTATATAGGTGGCAGACTGTGAAGAAACACATCGACAAGAAATAATTATAATTTCTCATATATCAGAACTACCATTCAACCCAGCTGCCCACACAACCCCCTAAGTCAAAGTCAAAAGTGCCTTGTTTTAGAAAGGAAAAAAAAAAAAAGCACACAACACCAAAGCCAGACTATTTTTTCTGGAACAGCTTCAAAGGTAGAATTTGGGTGGGAGAGCAAGCACAGTGCGTGCTTACCATTAACTTGCCAATTAAAAACAAAACCACAAATCATGGAAAAATTAAAAGTGTACCCCAAAGCATACTGATAGTCAAGGTAAGACAAGGCTAGGTTTTTAATTTTGCACCTTAGACGTGTAGATGCTTTTGCACACAGTAAAGCAAGAAGGAACTAAAAACCCAAAATCACTGTAGGTTGCGTGACAGATTCTTTTATTTCCACACAAAGCACGATGGCATTCAAGGGTGAGTCACTCTAATCATAGCATAACATTGCCTCACAGAGCAACACGACACTGTTCTCCAAGGGGGCTGATTTAAAACATGTTTTCCAAATCTCAGGACTATCAGAGACTAAAGAAAGCTGAATTCTCTGAGCAGGAGTCAGCAGAAACAGAAGGTCTGTGTTATCCTAATCATTTATTAAAGGAATACTGGTTCACTAAAGGTCTGTTAGTCATGAATTCTCCCTGGGTTTTATCTTTTACTGACAAGATTAAGTTTAAAGATGGAGATGTGAAAGAAAATTCACTGTTTTAAACAGCCACATCACATACTTTGCTACCTGTACCCACTCCAGCATGTCACATTCTTTTAGAAACTATGTTCACAGCTAGTCTTTGAAGCAGAAGTTGCATCTTGACTGCAGCAAGGTTTCTAATAAGATGCTGTTCTCATAAGAAAATCAATGCTTTCTTTCCAGTTCACCCAGCACATGATCCCTGTGTACTGTGGCACTGCTCCAGACACAAGGCATAGCCCAGTACTGTACTTCACGTTCACTAATCCCAGCAGTAGCACAGAGCTCACGTACATTACCTTGTGTGCTGTCATGCACAAATGAACTGCCGAAGTCTCTACATGAGAACACAGCTCTATGTTCTCTCTTGAAGGGGAAGTTCTATGCCTCCTGGCTTTGCAAAACTAGGCTTAGAATCTATCCTTCAATTTCAGAAAGGTTCCAGTAGAAGAACTGTTGTCAGAAAACCAGACCCAAACATCATATAAGGGAATGTGTCCCCTTCCTATCTTCTCCACTCCTTCCTTTTTCAGCCAAATGACCAACACTTCAAGATACAAACTTCTTTAATTTACTCTTCACTAGTGCTACCATACTCTGATTTTCTTTCCGACAGCAGTTTGCCAAAGTCAGGAGACTGCACACCAGTCTTTGAGGGTCTTTAAAGGCATTTACCAAGACAATCAAGATTAAGGGAAAATAAATGGAGAATGTGATTCCTGAATACAGAATACTGGAACAGGCTGCCCAGGGAGGCTGTGGGGTCTCCTTCTACAGAGATACACAAGATCTGTCTGCATGCCTAACTCTATATTGTAGGGCACCTGCTTCAGCAGGGGGTTGGACTCAATCATCTCCTGAGGTCCCTTCCAACCCCTGTGATTCTGTGATGAGTTCTAAATATTTTAAAGAACCGTAATCTCAGGAACATTCTGCTTCAAGAATCTGATCATTCTATTGGTAACTTAACTTGCCTACTTTTAGACACATTCAGTTTATGGTCTAATAAAAGCTCTTTAAAACTCTTTTAACACCATATAAAATTGATTTATTCTTAACACCGAAAACCCAGAAATGACAAAACAAACACCGATCCATTCTGAGCATCTCATTATTATTTCAGATGCAAAAAAATTGCTTTATTTCTGGAAGATTATAACACTTTTACCCAAACAAACAAACATCACTAATTTCCAAACTAAATACATTAAAGTCACATCAAAACCTCTGTTAAAACATAAGCACACCTTTGTACTGTACCAAAGGTTACAAGCAGAATAAATAGGTTTTTGCCTGAGCCAAGAGAGATCCCACAGTCCTAGTTTAATTATTACTGCTTTTGAGCTTTTTCTCTACTGCCACTGAAGCTTTAAAATGATAGGAGCATCCTCTAAACTTCTAAAAGCTGCCTGGAGCTGAACATGCTTAGAGGACAGAGGCCTGCTGGTTTGCTCTCTGTTCAAAAAATTAAGCAGGTGATTAATAAAGATGTACCTCTGACATACTAGTAAATTATATAAGTATTTGTCTTTTTTTTTTTTCCTGACAGAAACCATGTTTGCTCTTTTCTAAGATGCTGTCAACATTTGTGCCTTGATATTTCCTAAAGTACATCTTTCAAACAACTTGCCACAGCAGATTTAACTCCACTGAGTCAAAAACAACAACTTGGAGTGTTTTTAACAGTGAAAGGTACTACTAAACAAATTTCATCTCTGTTTACAAAAACAGCATCCTCTAGCACTGAGCATGCTAGGAAGTCTGAAAGTATGATCTGAGTATCTGATACTTTGTTGAGGCTTTGAACTCAAAAATATACCTAAACGTATTACACTCTCACTCCCTCTTGTTCTCCTCCAAAATGCAATTTTAGGATAACTGCTTGCCTTCTAGGTGGGCATACACACAGAAGAAACATGTCTAGCTCACACATTTGGGGTTGGTAATGTGATGATGAGTGTCACAGGGCCATACCATACAGAAAACAGCAGTGGAGACTCCCTCCTTCACAGGACTGCTTGTGTGGATGGCCGTACTCTAGTTATTTCAGTCTCAATAGATTACTGCCTTATAAAAGTAACTCACATTCTGAAGTAGCAGGACATAACATCCCCATGTCATATCCCAAATCCATGGATTTTTGATAGACTCAAAAATTATAATTATGTCCAATATCCTGAAAACAGGAGTGAAACCATAAAACAGAACTCCTTTCCACAGTTACTTGCCGAGCTGACACACATATTGAGTACAGCTGAAATCCCTGAGGAGCAGTGTCTTAAGATGGACATAAATTTTTTACCTGTGTGGTTTGAAAACTGGACAGAGTTCACTGTGTCAACTTCGAATCCCAAAACCTGTAAGAAAACATAGGAGTATTTCTTTTACTGATAGAGCTTTGTCAATGTTACCAATACCACAAAATATAAGGCAGCATCCTTATTTCCTAGTACATATTTTAAAATCTTTTAGTGCTGTCTCAAAGTCAAAGCTGAGTCAACATACACGCAACATAAACAAACAATGCAGTAATTTGGTGCACAACAGGATATGGAAAAAGACTGACATTGGCACCAACATCAGCAAAACAGAGCTCTGAATCCTCAAGAGTTCATCTGGGGATAAGGACAGAGAAGTTTTCCCAATCAGCACCAATCGTGGTAGCTCTGAGGAAAGCCTTGGCTGGCCTTCCTTGCTAAGAAAAGCAGTCTGAATTTCAAGGTACTAAGGGAATGCAAAATATGGAGGGAGGATGCTGTTTGTATTTCAGAAAGCCAACCTTTCTAAAAGGAGGATGGAAGAATCAACAGATCAACATGATGAGACACACCTGGATTTTACAAACAGGCTCTTTACAGGTTAGTTCTAAAAGAACAGAAAGAAATCCCAGATAATTAATTTGGGGAATAATTAGGCAATCAAAGGGAACAAGCTTTCAAAAAGACAAACTAAAAAGAAGGCACGCACCAAACCCATCTGCTACCTTGCATTACCAGCAAGTCAAATTCTTGAACTAATTTGCTAGTGCAATTAAGAAATGCATCCCTGTTGCTCATGAAAATAAGAGTACCAAATCAGGAAAAAACTAATGAGGATTATTAACCTGACAATACCTGTTTAATAGAGATAGGGACTACTCCCTATGAAGCCATTTTTAGACATTTTTATCTGCAATGAGAGACATTCTAATGCAGCAGTGACATAACAGTCTGACATTTTGTATTTGCTTGCACAGCCTACTTGCTCTGAGTAAGAATTCTCCTCAAAAGAAGAGCTGCTATATACAGCTCAGTGAGTCATAGCAGGAGATAATAGTAATGATGCAGTGCTGTTTATGATCCATTTTCAGGCAATTTGCTGAGGAGGGGGAGTGAATGGAAGAGGCTTTTGCCAGTCACGTTTTTTTTTTTCCACTCCACAGCACATTTCTCCCTTTTCATCACAAAGGCAACTCCTTCACATGCATTAAAAATCTCTGGGTGGACTGTAGGAGAGAGATTTCCTCAGTGCATGTACTTTCTTCCTCACGTAAAGCCATTAAGTACCAACCTTTTCTTTCAAACCCTGCACCATTATACAGAGATAGAGGTACGTGCTGCCGTGAAGAGTTCCTTTTGCCTGCAGGCACCACATTTCTGCCACACTACAGCTCAGAGAATACACAGGTCTTCACACAGTAAGTCCCCATTTCCAATATTTAATCAAGGTTTCTGTTCATTCTTAACTAAACAACTAAGTAATCTTGCATTAATGATAAGCACAGTGGTGGCTTGTGGCCCGATTGAGTTAAAACTCTTCTCTTCTTTTACTCTTCTCCAGTTCCTCTTGGTGGATTTATTTCTAAGCACAGAAAAATTAACAGTATGAGAACATGGCAATACTGTTAGGACTTTAACCCTGATATCTGCACATGCTCTCCAAAGACATGAATGAGAGAACTGCCTCTACAAACATCCCTTATCCAGTGTTCAATTCTCCCTGTAAAGAACAGGCCTAAGTTCTAATTGCCTTCCATCATCTTGGCAATAACTGCAAATGAATCCATTCCCATGCACTACTTACATCACACACCTCCAACTACTTAACATCTGGCACTCTAGAACAGACTTACTAAGATTTACGGGGGAACTGAAACTAGACAATCTTAAGGTCCCCTCCAGCCTAAGCCATTCTATGATTTACTAACCCATAGGTTGGATGGCAGATAACTTCAAAGGCAGATCCACACAGTAGTTTTGCAGTGTTCAGTCAGCAGGGAACAAATTCAGGTCGGTAATGGTTTATCATGGTTCACTGAAGAGTGCAGTTGTCTCTATGCTCAGCCTGATAAATACAGCAGAAGCCACATGTGCCACTTGGCCACTTCCATCAGAGTGACAAATGCCTTTACTGAGATGGTTTCAATTCACACCTGCTGATACATCATGTTCCCGCTGTTTCCTGAATTTTTTGCATACCAATCTTGCATTCTCAAACCAACCCAACTTTTGGGCCTTAAAACTGTCACTTTTCTCTGTGTGTGTATTCATGCATATGCTCCTCTCACCTCAGTGTACATAAACTGAAGGATGCCCCCCATGTTCGTTTAGGCTACATCTGAGCCAACATCTTCAGGTAGTATTCAATTAGAGCAATGAATGAACATATTAAAAAATGCACAATAATTCTTAATTTATTACTTTTCTATACACTAGCTTGTAAGTAGTCCACACCTGCTGTTGCTTCCTGCTTTCCCCTGTAATAAGGGTCCCGAAATGATGGTCCTGCCTCAGGTTTTAGAGATCACAGAACCACAGAATGGCTTGGAGTGGAGGGAGTTCAAAGATCATTTATTTCCAACCCCTGCCGTTGGCAGGGCTGCCCCCCACCAGCTCAGGCTGCCCAGGGCCCCATCCAACCTGGCCTTGAGCGCCTCCAGGGATGGGGCACCACAGCTTCTCTGGGCAGCTGTGTAAGCATCTCATCACCTTCTCAGTGGAAATTTTCCCTGACATGTTGTCAGTCTTCCCTGTTTTAGACTAAAGCTATCCCCTTGTTTTATCACTCTCTGTTCATGTAAAAAGTTGGTCTCTCTCCTGTTTATAAGCTCCCTTCGAGTACAGGAAGGCCACAATGAGGCCTCCCCAAAGCCCTCAACTCCCCAGGCTGAACAAGCCCAGCTCCCTCCACCTGTCTTCATAGGAGAGGTGCTCCAGCCCTCTGACTATCCTCATGGTCCTAACACAGATGACAGCAGACACTTTGCAAGCGTCCAGGCCGCAGTTGCCAAAGATGCACATCTTTATTTTCAGACAACCTGGTCTCTTGCAGGCCCTCCAGCAGCGATCACTTTCTCTTTCCATCCCCTCCTCCTGCTGTCAGCCTACATAAATATCGTTTGCCCACAGAGCTGCAAATCCTGAGCGAATCTAAACCCAAAGCCTGTTTGGGTAAGGATGATAAGCGCACTTCAAGGGAAGATGATAACTGACTTCATCTCAGACTAAGCACATGTCAAACAGCGTTCTTCTTAAGACATCTAACTAATGTGGCCTGTATCACGACACACAGAAGTCTCAGAAGAAAATGGGCAATTCCAACAGCTTCTTAGCATCTTCACCAAAGGACGCAGAACTATTGCATTTCTAAAAACAAATCACAAAACACCAAAAATAGAGAAGTTTTGCATTTGGAAGGCACGGCTGGCAGATCTGTATGACAGATTTCAGGAAAATATCTGGAAGATTAACTCAAAATACACACACTGGAGTAGAATGCACTAGAAGAAACAGTTGCCATGAAACACGTACTCCAACATTACCCAGGAGATCAAATGAGGCTGAACTCTTTCTCATTATCTTTTGGGTATGCTGACGTTTATGCATTTCTTGGTGAGTTAGGAGTTAGAGCTTTGTTTAAGTTGTACCTTCTGCCTTCCTTTCCCTGTCAGAAAACATTTCAGTCATACACACGAAACATGCCAGTCCTTCACTGCCAAGAACAAGTAACCAAGACCATGAGAAATGAAAGACCACAAATCCATGTTTCTTTCAAGAGGTCAAAGTTGTGTCTCTTGTGTAAGGGGGAACTGTCAAAACAGAAGATAAGGAAAGCTATGTTACAGAAAATCATGACTTTAACAACAGAAAAAGATTCTGAAGCAAATGCAGCATCTTAAATTCTGTTTTAACGATTGCTAAACTTTATTTTCTATTTGTATTATCCACACTCTGTACTGACAGTCTAAAGACAAATAAAAGAAACCATTTTAAGCTCCTAATCCTATTTGCTATATGATTGTTAATACCATTTGAGACAGAGAACTGTTAGCTTCCAAGATTAGCTTTGCCACAGAGTAAAGACTAATTTAAATACTCATTTAATAATTTTATTTACTCTGAGAAATGCTTTTAAGAAATGCTAATAGCTGTTACTGTAGCTGATTCTACATACAATTTGGTTACCATTCTTATCTAGAGCTGAAAATCTAGAGGAAAAAAAAGCATACTCAAAAGCATCACATTTTAAAGTATTATTGAAGTCCTCTTTCTCCTTTTTTTTTTTTTTTTTTTTTTTTTTGCATCCAGTTTAAAGAAAAAGTAGGGAAAAAAAAATCTTCAATCTCTGAAGCATGCAAAAGGAAACCTGTCATGTGATTTACTTCTACACTGAACTAAGTTTGATTGGTTCCCTGGGAACTAAATATTGGAAAAATAGCAAAACAAACTATTCCCAATGTGTTGCATACACATACTGAGAGAACGTGAGCTGTACAGGTGGCTGAGAGAGAGGCCGTGGAACCACTATCTTTGGAGACCTACAAGACCCAAGAGGACAAGCTCTCACCAACATGGTCTGCACACAAAAAGCTTTACCTGTTGTACAGCTTTGGCTGTAAGGACAAAAACCAGTGGCACATAATGTTTGTACTATTAACCACGCTGGCTTTGTCAGTGAAGACACAGTGTCCTTTGTTGTTAAATGAGCAACTGACCAATTAAACTTGAATACTTTAATTAGTACTTAATTTCAGCAATTTTAGAGAATAATGACCTAGTTCTGCTAGGCTAAAATTCAATTAAAAATATCTCTCTACTCTGCAATATCATCTGTACTTATTACCCTCCTTGGCCAATGGGTTTACGCCTCCAGTGTGATCTCATTCTAAGGTTTGAAACTGAAACAACAAAGCAGTGCTGCAGCTCGTGTGAAAGGAAAAATCCAGAACAATAAGTGAAAGGCATAATAAGAAGGAAAAGCAGTGTGAAGAAAAAAAAATGATTATACAAGGTTATGTAAACATGATTCTTCTTGACAAATGTTCACAGGTTGTCGCCTGTATTTCATGAAGCAAAACAGAAGCCTTCATCCACTGTCT